AACCCACTCCCCAAATTTAAATTTGTACCACCATAGGGGTGTTCAGGGTTTTCCATTTGTCCCCTGACCGGCGTGAAAAAATCCGCAGGATTTGTACTTTTAAGAAACAAGGTTAAAAAATGATCCATTATCTATTGTGTCATTACAGCAGGGCTTTGTGTCACAGCTGGATTTGCCACCCTTTGTCAGAGCTGAGCAACCTGGGCTAGTGGAAGGTGTCCCTGCCCAGGGCAGGGGTTGGACTTGGATGATCTTTAAGGTCCCTTCTGACCCAAACCATCCTGTGATTCTATAATTCATGATACACCTTTAACTCTGTAGTTCTCCTACTGATCCACTGGGAAGTGCTGGAGCACTGGAACTTGCAGAGATGAGGTAATTCTCAGTCCCAAAAGTTACACCTGAGCTGTTCAGCCACGGTCCAAACCTCCAGCAAGATCCACTGCAACCCAGGAGACAGACACATGCCCAACACTGAGAGAAATTCAGGGAACAAAAAACAAGTTCTATATTCTAAACAGAGGTAATCACAGAATCATGGAATGGTTTGAGTTGGAAGGGACCTTAAAAATCATCCACTTCCAACTCCCTGCCATGGGCAGGGACACCTTCCACTAGCCCAGGTTGCTCCAACCTGGCCTTGGACACTTCCAGGGTGTGGACTCAACTTTGAGATATTTGAGTGCTGCATATTTAAAACCCACAAGAGCCTCTTCCATTACATTTTTAGTTTAGGAATTAAGTTCATGTAATGCTCTGCTACTCCCAGCAAGGGAAACGTAACTGTGCAAAAGTTTTGGGTATTTAAAGTCACCTCTGAGACACCAAAACCCCACAGATCCACAGAATGGTTTGGTTGGAAGGGACCTTAAAGATCATCTTGTTCCAACCCCCCCATGCTACCAGAAACTCAAGTATCTTCCAAAAACTAAAGCAAGGGGAACTTATCCAATTTTATTTTAGAAGTAGGAAGGAGTGTCCTGCATCCCTGGGATGTTCTGGACAGAAACTGCATAAATAACTTCATAAAGAATTATTGAATTTTTGCTGTTTCAGCTCAGCACACAAAATGTGCCTCCCAACAGCTGGGAGGACACAGCTCTGGGGCACAAATTACATTCTTTGTTCTATTAAAGACTTCCTTTATGAAGTCATTTGATTTTTTTTTGCTGCCTTATTTGTACAAGCCCAGTCCCACCTTCCAGTGCCAGCACGAGCACAGACTCACCTGCAAGGTGCCCAAGCAGCAGGATCAGGGACACAATTTCTCATTAAAAAACCAAAAAAAACCCCCCAAACAAATGAAAAGTAAAAACCCAAAGGCACAATGACAACCCAAGAATAATTCCCATCCTTTAATGCAGCACAAAGCACTTGTAGCAGTGATTCCACATGGGACACCACATGGAATATCCTCCTCAGCTCCACTGCCACGCAGGGCAGACACTGTTTATATGCCTATAAATTAATGAATTAATGAATTAATACTCCAAACAGTGGGACCTAACAAAAAACTGAGTGGTGACTCTGGAATTCTGCCTCTAATCCTGCTCCCAGGAAGGTCCATCACATCCCAAAGCACAGTCCAAATAAATCCCTGCCCGGTGAAGCCCCGGAGAAGTTTAATTAATGCTGGAGTACCCTGAGCTTCCAGGGGGAAAGAAGGAACAAACCTGAGCTTTACAGAGGTGCTGAGCAGGTGTGGAGCCTATGGAAACATCCCTGGGAACAGCTGCTCCACATTCCATCCTGAAACCAGCCCAGGTGTGGGATGGGACACGGGCAGAGCTGACCTTGCTTGCTCCTGTTGTTGGCCTGAATTTATTCATTCATTCTTACATTTATTCATTCCTTCATTCATTTATTCACTCATTCCTTCATTTATTCATTCACTTATTTATTTATTTTTAATTAATTGGCAGCTCCCAAATCCAGCTCCTGCCTGAAGCCCGCAAAGAGAGACCTGCAGACCCCCAAATACAGATGTTAAGGCACCACCTGTGCTGGTGAAGGGTTTGGATCACATGAAAACTAAGTCCTTTCACAGAATCAGAGAATGGTTTGGATTTTTGGATTGGAAGGGATTTTAAACTCACCTCATTCCAACCCCCTGCTATGGGCAAGGGCACCTTCCACTATCCCAGGTTGCCCCAAGCCCTGTCCAACCTGGCCTTGGACACTTCCAGGGAACCAGAGGCAGCCACAGATTCTCTGGGCAACCTGGGCCAGGGCCTCTTTCCCATATCCCACCTACCCCTGCCCTCTGGCACTGGGAAGCCATTCCCTGTGTCCTGTCCCTCCAGGCCTTGTCCCCAGTCCCTCTCCAGCTCTCCTGGAGCCCCTTTAGGCCCTGCCAGGGGCTCTCAGCTCTCCCTGGAGCCTTCTCTTCTCCAGGTGAACATCCCCAGCTCTCTCTACACAATGTTTGTCTGGAAGGAGATCTCTCAGTGATGGACTTGCCCCTTTGCCCATTTTTTTTTTTTTAAATGACAACTCCCAAAGAACTTGTGTGTCCAACTTCAAGGGAAAAACACATGGCCTAAGTCTTCCTCCTCCAGTTTCAGTGGAATAAGACACAAGAATTCCAGCTCTAAATGACTTGCAGCAGGCCCCTTTCCCCTGCTGAGGGATAATGTGAGCCTCGTGCACTGCACTATTTCAGCCCAAATCAAAGAGGTTAATGACAAAGCTTCCCTCTGATCCTCACACATTTTAAGGGCTATTTAAATTAAATGCTTCTTTCAAAAAAAGTTAGCGTGAGCCAAACTTTTATAAACTCCTTTCTTTTCATGCATATGTTTCTTTGAAGGTCTTTTTTTTCAGGGGAAAAAAAAAAAGATTCCCTAACAAAGTCACCCTCCCCCTGCTGCCACTGAAGAATCATCCCCGTGGATAAGGCTGTTGGGAACAGAAACTGTGCAGCGTTCACAGAAGGCAGAGTGTCACGTGCCTGCTTTCCACCAACCTGATTGAACAATTAAATTGTATTTCTCTTTAAAAGGGATAAAAAAAAAAAAAGGTAAAATAATAAAAAAAAAAAAAAAAGAAAAAATCCAAATGCAGATCTTGCTGTGGTCTGGGATTCAGGAAGATTAATGAGCTCCCTAAAAGGGAACAGCAGCTTCTAATAGAAAAGAGAGGCTACTACATTTTTAACATAAAGTTCAAAGGGAAACTTTTCTTGATGGTTTAAACTGCAAAGACCCTCAGCAAAGTCATCTCATCTATTGTCCCTGTTGACTCTTTGTCCCCTGTTGCATCACGTCCAAGCTCTTCCAACTCAGCCAGAAAGGGCAACAGAATCCGGGCTCCATCCACACCAATTCCTGTGTTTTGTCCTTTACTTCCTTTGTCCACAGGCTTTGTTCTTCCCAGCCTCTGGAATCCTGCAAATCCTGCACAGCCCTCCTGCATCCTCCCCTCTGGAAAAGGCTCCCAACCTCCTGCTCAGCACAAATGTTGCCTCAGGGTTTGTGTCCTGTTGTGAGTAAGGAATTCCAAACCCAGGACAGGAGCTGCTTATGAACAAACCCTCAGTTCAGTCTGACAGCAACAACCCCAAAAATCCCCAAAAAAAACCTCATCCTGGAGGAGGACACAGCCATGGGGTGAGTCAGTTCTGTTCTCTGCTCTGTTTTAAAGGCAACAGGGACAACGGGGCGTGGAGACAACCGGGAACGACGGAACACGACGGGACACGTCCTGAAAAGACCTGGAATTCTGGAGGGCTCAGAACTGTGGAGAATGACTTAAACCTTCCTAAAAAACTCAAGAGTTCACAACATCCCCCCCCGAGCTGGGGGACTTCTCTCAGCTAACCCCGGGCACGTGTGACAGGTGTGAAGGTGAGAACCTGAACCTCCGGGGGCGAAGAGCTGCACGTTCAACACCTCCCAGGTGTGTGCAAAAAGTGAGATCAGAATTTAAATGGCAGGTGTCTCCACTTCACTCTGCTTTCACATCGTGATGTGGGGCACCTGTCAACTCCAGCACATCTGCACCTCAGGTTCCTCCTTCACAGCCCACCCAGAACCATCTGAATATTCACCACGGAATTGTTAATCCCACAATCATCGATGCCAAGATCACCAAAGTGAAACAATCTGCCACAAGAACACTCTCTCTGTCCCTCCAGGCTTTTTTTCTGCACGCCCTGGTGGGTTTAACTTGTCGCTCAGGATAAGTTATAAAAGGAGGAAGGGAATAAAAAGTCATCCAAACAATCTTTTGTAAATTATAAAACGCTCTCAATTAAAAGCCAACTGGAAATTATCATGGGCAAGAGCTCAAGGAGAAGTTCTACTCTTTGCCATCATATTTTAAGAGTATAAATTATTTTCTTGTTATGATTATCCCAGCAAGAAACTGGAATAGATGACCCAGAATTTAGTCCTGCTGTAGGTTATCATGGCAACCTTAAGATATCCCCCTTGATTTTGCTGCCAAACCCAACCCTTTTGTGAAAGGAAAAACACATGGAATGATGCCATGCCTGGAGGACACCTCCCTGTGGATATAAAGCATGTCCCACAGGGAATATAAACCAGCAAGAGCAGCCCAAGTCCTCAAATTCACCTTTTGGAAACACTCTTCCAGTGCACAAAAGACAAAGAATTGGTCACTTTAGTCCATCCAACTTCAAATAAGAGCTGGCTGAGCTCAGCTCCCAGAGCAATCCAGGGGGAGTATCCCACCCAGCATGTGATGTGAGGAGATAAATGGCAGATAAGTATCCAAAGAAGCTCCAAAAATCCCAACCCAGTGCTGGGGGTGAGGTTTCCACTTCACCCACTGTCTTACAAGTATCTTTTTCAGACCTTGACCTCCAGCTGGAAACAGAGGGAACAAAGACAAACCCTGTTGCTTCCCAACTTAATAATAAACAGAGCTTCAAACCAGTGGCAAAGCAGAGGGGGATCAATACCTGGCACGGCATGGATGGGATATTCCAGCTCCTGCAAAGGACAATTATCCAGTTAACACATTTTCCCTTTCCATACCTTGCAGTTCCCCGCTCCTGCTGTACAGCTCCCTCCTCTGCTCCCGCAGGTAGGCACTCATGCTGATGGCGTGGGAGGAGGACTCAAACCTGGAATTCAACAGGAAGAAATCAATCCAGCCAGCCCTAAAAGCATCCTTCAGTCAGCCCTAAACAAGAGCAAAATGAATAAGATGAAAATTCCCGTGGAATTAGGAAAGATCAATTATTAAGTATTTATCTTACAGCTCTAACGGTCCACGAGGACCAACCTGAGGGGCAGAGACAAATATTTCCCAACTGTTGGAGCCTCGTGAACAGGATTTTTGGCACTCATGATGAAAGGGCACAGGCTGGGCACTGATCTGACCCCCTCAATGACTCCAGGACAGTTCTGGACACCACAAGTGTCCCGTGGCCAAGGGCCTTGTGCCCGACCTGCCTGAGCTGGGAATATTCCATGTGGCCAAAGGCTGCTGCTCCAGGCACTGGGAACACCAGCCCTGGTGGGCACTGGGAAACAGGGAGAAGGGAGCACATGGTGGGGATAAAACATCTCCCAAGGGACGAGGCACCTTCAAACAGCCCTGGTGGACACTGGACTGGGAGGGGAACTTCCTGCACAAAAACACCTCTGCTGTATCCCCTTCCCAATCCCCTTCCCAATCCTGCTGTTCAGGAATATTGAAGCAGCCTCAGTGGGGCCCAGAGGGACACTGGGAACAGCAGCATCACGCCAGAGAAAAGGGAAAAAAGCATTTCACAGCTTCCCCAGCGTCGGGGTTATGACTATTAACGAGGCTTTTCTGCTGTAATTTGGATTGTGTGAGGATTACTGCAACTGAACCAATAATGATTTATCAAAATACAACAAACTCTTCAGACTTTAATTAAATGAGCAGGAAATTCTTGTCTCTGTATTTACAACGTTCTCCCTCTTGGCCACAGTGAGATATTCAGTGTATCATTATCCCCACAGCCCAGAGATCTTCTCCAGGCATCAAAACCACATCTCACCCCTTTTTTTCCCCACAGACATCCAGTTTCTCTCCCCTATTTCCCTTCTTCTGCCACTTCCCAAATCTCCACATTCCTATTTCCACTTAAATCCTCTACCCTTGAACCTCCTTTCCCGTGCAGAGAATGTCAAAGAAATGTTAGTTTTGCACAGAATTACACGAAATTTTGCAAGTCTACAATTCCCTCCTTTCCTACCCCAAACCCAATTTACACCTTGCAAATCAAGCTACCTTTGGGAAGAGAAAAAAAGCCACATTTATGATGGCACAAAACATCCAAATTCCCAAAACACCCTTTATCTGAAGCTTTTTTTTTCCCCCCCAAACCAATGTTACAACTAAAGAAATCCTGATTTATTTATTTTTTTTTATTACACCCATTTTAAAGATAAGGAAAAAAAAGTCTCTTCCAAACACCAGCTGCTGATTTCCAGACAGCAGGATTCAACTGAGGAGTCCTCATTCTTCCACAGAAGACACAAGTGGCAGAGGTGTTTAATATTAATTAAATATTATTTAATATTAACTAGTATTAATATAGTATATATTTTTATCATATTATATATATAAATACACATATTATATTATATTATATTATATATTTTATTGTATTATATTATTATAGAAATAATATGTTAAATAATATTATTCTTTAAGATTAATTAAATATTAATTAATATTGATTAAATCAGCTCCCAGCTGTCACAGGACACGGCACAAACACCTGTGAGTAAAACACAGTGGAGGTGGAGGTGGAGCCCTGCCCTGAGAGACTCCTGAGGCCAGGAATTAAATGCAGATATCCTGATGACAAGTGGAAGGCTCTGATTTGGACAGAGCTGATGGAAAGGCAAGGAGAAGAGCCTGGAAGGCTGGCAGGGAAAGCACTGGAGATGGGAGAGGAGACAAGGATAACACTCCATCAAACGTGTACAAACCTCAGCGGGCCGAGAAATTCCATTGCAAGGGAGATTTGCACAGATCTGGTGCCAGCTGACAGGGGACCAAACAAGAGAGCCCAGGAAGCTCTGCTGTCACTGCAGGGACGGTGACAGGACCAGCAGCGAGGGATGTGCTGCTCCCACAGGTTATTCACCTGCACTTGAGACAGCTCCACCCTCCCTCCCTCCCTGCTGGGAAACTAATGCACAGCCTGAGCCTGCTGCAGTGAAACTGGGAGTTTTTATTCCTCAGATAAATTGTAAACCCAAGAACAGACCCGGGGTGAGAGGCTGAGCCACCCTGGTTTTGCTCCACTAAACATTTCCTGTGTCCAGCTCTGGGCCCTGAGCTCAGGAAGGCCCTGGAGGGGCTGGAGCAGGGGCAGAGAAGAGCAGCGAGGCTGGGGAAGGGACTGGAGCCCAAGTGCTGGGAGGAGAGGCTGAGGGAGCTGGGGGGGCTCAGCCTGGAGAGGAGGAGGCTCAGGGGAGACCTCCTCACTCTCTGCAACTCCCTGCCAGGAGGGGGGAGCCGGGGGGGGTCGGGCTCTGCTCCCAGGCAGAGATCAGTGAGACAAGAGGGCTCGGTCTTCAGCTGTGCCAGGGGAGGTTTAGGTTGGATATTAGGAAGAATTTCTTTGCAGAGAGGGTGCTCAGCCATTGGAATGGGCTGCCCAGGGAAGTGGGGGATTCTCCGTCCCTGGAGGTGTTTAAGGACAGACTGGATGTGGCATCAGTGCCATGGGCTGGGAACCGTAGAGGTCGTGGATCAAGGGTTGGACTTGATGATCTCAGAAGTCCTTTCCAACCCGACTGGTTCTATGATTCTATGATTCTATGATTTCTATGATTCTATGATTCTAATATTCATTTCTTGCAGTGTTGTGAGATTTTTTGGTCTCTCAAAGGAATTTAATTTAAAAAAAATAAATGCATTTTGCATTCTTAGAAGAAGCTGAGGTGGATATGAAGTGTGGTACCTGGTTATCCTCCAGGTTTATGGTCTCCAGCAGATCATGTTCCTGCAAGCCTCGTAAACTGTTCATTTTGTTGCGGGACAGGTCCAGCTTCTGTAGAGTTTTCAAGCTCTCCAGCCAGGACAAGAGGGCACGGCCTCAAGCTGGGCCAGGGCAGGGGCAGGTTGGACATCAGGAAGGAATGTTTTCCATGGAGAGGGATCAGGCATTGGAATGGGCTGCCCAGGGAGGGGGTGGAGTCACCGTCCCTGGAGGTGTTTAAGGACAGACTGGATGTGGCATCAGTGCCATGGGCTGGGAACCACGGCGGGGTTGGATCAAGGGTTGGGCTGGATGATCTCAGAGGGCTTTTCCAACCTGGCTGATTCTGGGATTCTATGATCTGCAAGTCAGGGCACATTTGAAGTGAAATTCTCAACCTGAAACAGCCCTAAAAGCATCCTTCAGTCAGCCCTAAACAAGATCAAAATTAATAAGATGAAAATTCTCACGGAATTAGGGACCAATCCATTATTAAGCATTTATCTTATGGCTCTAACAGTCCACAAGGACCAACCTGAGAGGCAAAGACAAATAAGTTAAAAGTGTTAAAAAAAGAGTTAAAAAAAAAGGGTGGGGAGTAATAACGAGGGATTGACAGGAGCAGGAGGCACCTCTGGAATCCTTCTAAGCACAGGTTACAGGAGAACTAATCCTCTGAGGGGCAAAATCGGTGAAGAAGACTTGGATTTCTGACTGGGGCCTCAGGTGTTATGAGAACACACCCCCTCAGGGCACCTGCTGCAAAACCAGCACTATTTAGTGCTCCCCAAAATCCTCACGTGGCCAAAGAGAATGACCAGCACATGTGGGCAGTAGAAGAGGTGAAAATTCAGCACAGCTCCCCTGAACCTAAGTGTGAATCTCCTCTGCTCACCAACTCCTCCTCCTCCTCACTCCTTATTCCTGCCCAGATTCCCTCCAGCAGATCCTTCCCTTGGGCCACCCAGCCTCTCTCATCCTCTCTCTTACACTCTCCTCCCAACCACTTAATTCTTTCCACCCTGAACTTTGAATTAAAGGAGTTAGTGACAGGATTAACTGCTTAGCCTATCTAGTAATTACACAGTTATCTTAATTCCCTTTGTCCGGTCCCTTTTATCGCTCTCTTTAACAGGTCCTGAATTTCCCCTGGACAAAGGGAGGCATAATGGATCACTGCAGGCTTTGCAGCAGCTTTGTAATGGGATTCCAGCCCAGAAATGAGCCCTGGGAAGAGCTGAACTCTCCAAATCCGGTGCTGAATCCGTGACAGATCTTAGCCGGGCTTCAGCTCCGGGCATTAAATCTCCAACTCGGAACTTCCACACCTCTCCCACTGTGAAACTGTGATTAGCAGCCAGCCTTGTGCAGCACTTGAGGGATCAAAGGCAGCTTAGGCAGGGCTTTAGCATCCTCAGCTTACTTGAACAGGGGGTTTTTAGGTCTCTGGGGTTTCTTCTTGGCGAAGAAGGCGGCGAATTCCCGGCCGGAGCTGGCGTAGCTCAGCTGGGCCGAGGGCTCCGAGGCCGTGCGGGTGTTCTTCATGTCCAGGTACTCTGTCAGCAGCATCTGCAACGGCAGGCAGAGATAAAAATAGCATTTAAATTTATCATTTCACCTGAACGTCGGGGATTTTTAGGTGCTTTGTACGGAAAACTCGACAAAACCCTCGAAAATTCCGACTGAGGGAAACGCGGCTGAAAACAATCAGAAACAGGATCCTGGGGATTCTCGTGGCTCTAATTGGGTAAAAGCTTGTTTTTCATTACTTAGAGTCATGGAATGGTTTGGGATGGAAGGGAATTTAAAATCATCCAGTTCCTATGGGCAGGGACACCTCCCACTAGCCCAGGTTGCTCCAACCTGCCCTTGGACACTTCCAAGGATCCAGGAGCAGCCACAGCTTCTCTGGGCAACCTCTGCCAGGGCCTCCCCGCCCTCCCAGCCAGAAATTCCTTCCCAATATCCCATCTAAACACATTCTCTGTCACTTTGAAAGCCATTCCCCCTTGTCCTTTTCCATGGGAGAAGGCAGGTTTTTAAGGAAAGTTATCATGGATTGGGTTGGAAGGGACTTTAAAGATCACCCAGTTCCACCCCCTGCCACGGGCAGGGACACCTGGTACCATCCACACCAGGGCAGGATGTCTTCAGCAATTAGTTGGAGGCATGGAATACATGGAATATTCTGTATTACCCAGCAGTGAACATGGGTGATATTTAAGCAGTAATCTGCCCTTTTTTGCTTTATTTTTACTCCTTTCTTTGCTGCATTTTCTGGGCCCCTTTGAGCTGCAGAAGCTCAGCTCAGGTGGGTTCAGCACAGCCCTCTTTCCCCTGGGCATTAAACCTTTCCCTGAGAGGATGCTCTGGAAGGTGAGGGGGTGGCAGGCACTAAACCTGAGGGAATAGATCCTGCTTCTTTGGGATTTAAAAATGTTTAGCTTCACCTCAGTTGTAAATAGAAATTTCTGTGTTCTTCCCCACCTGCCAGTTGTGCAGAGCCACTGAAGCTCAGCTAAATTATCCTTGCAGAGCAGGAATCTGCTCTCAGTCACTTGGGCAACTCTCACACTCCCCTTTGGCCTTTGTATCCTACGGGAACAAATGGAAGTCCAGTCCTGCTGCAAGTGGGATTTAATCTTTCAGGAAAATCCTTTCTTTTGTGCCACCTGTGAAGCAGGTGGGAATTACACCTTTCTGGTGAAGTTCATTGTGTTTTGGTCCATTTTAGTGCAGTTGGCTTGTTCTCCACCCTCTGGATTGTCCTGGACCGTGTTGGGTGGTATTTTCCCACCTTCCCAGTCACATCAGAAGGAGCATGTGCTGAAGATCCACAGAGAATAAAGTCACAGACTGGTTTGGGTTGGAAGGGAACTTAAAGCTCATGTGATTCCACCCCCTGCCATGGGCAGGGACACCTTCCACTCTCCCAGGTTGCTCCAACCTGGCCTTGGACACTTCCAGGAATCCAGAGGCAGCCACAGTTTCTCTGGGCAACCTGCTCCACAGTTTTCTTATCCATGACAATTCCCTCTGTTCCGAGCCCCTGATGGTACCAAAAGTCACCTGCAAGGAGTCCCCACTCTTCCCAAAAAGTGATTCCATCCATGGCAGGCCCAGGGAGGTGGTGGGTGGGTTTTAGCTGCCCTTTCCACACTGGTTATAAACATAAAATATGCTCTTAAAAACACTAAGGTTTGCCATGGTGAGCTGTGCATTACAAACCCACCTTTTATAAATGCATATATATTTTTTCTACAGAAAACATCCATGAGCGTGCTGGGGGTCACATATGTTGGAAAATATCCCTGGAAAGCTGCAAAAAAATCGCCCTTGGACAGTTCCCAAACCAAAAACGTTTCCTTTATCATTGAAAACATGAATTCTCACAGCTGCCAGTTCTGCCAAAGCAGTTTAGGAATGGTTTTCCTGTCACCCTGTGAGGGGCTGAGGGGAGTCCCTTTGTGGGATGAAACCCTTTGCAGCCTGATATTTGATATTATTTAAGCAAACCCACAAGTGCAGGAGTAGAAACATGTTCCAAGTTCTTCCCTTTTCATTCCCTCGTGCCTGAAGATGAAAAGAAACCCCTCGAAAACTGACTTTTGTCCACGTATTCCGAAAGCCACTATTTATTTTCTGGAAATTCTGCCTACTCTGAGGCCATTAGGAATGTGTTCCATGTGAATAATTAGCCAGACAGAGCCCATCAAAGAGACTTGGATGTAATGAAAGGAATTCATCACTCCTGCGCTGGCTAAGTTGAAACAAATTACATTGGAATAAATATCCAGGCGAATGGAACCGTGCCCCTAATTAGAAACAATTCAGGATTAGCTCAGAACAAGAAATAATAATAATAAAAACGCACACAAAAAAAAATTCGGCCTCTAAAACATCTCAATTAAAACTTCACCTGAGCACAAGCTTTGAAAACTCGTGTTTATGGGTAAAAAAAATAATCACTGTGCTTAATTTGTGACACTAATTTACCAAATCCGTTTGTATTTTGCATTTCATCTTCTCCGCTCTAAATTACCAGCCCTAAAATCGCCACGAAAATCTAATTAAACCCTCAAACTTAATCAAGTTTAAAAAACACAGAGAAAAAAAAACATTTAGCAATTTGTTCTTCCATTATGGATGAAACCTGTTTATAATGGATTCCACGACTCCAGTGTCACTTTATATCCAGGACTAGGGAATATTAAGTGTGTAATACAGGGCTTGGCTCCAAGATTACAATAAACCAACAGAGGTTTGAGCTGGGAAAAGAAAGAATTATCCCTGCTGGGGAACAAGTGAAATAGAGAAGCAGGAGAGGAGTTTGCTGGAAGACATTCAGAGCAGTTTGAAAAACGCCAAAGATTAGGGGGAAAGAAGGGAAACCTGTTAATTTATGGTTCATTTGTTTTATTAATCTATTTAACAGGCAAGTGGGGCAGGATGGTTGGATTCAAGGCTGGGAAAAAGTCAGAAGCTGGAAAAGCAGTGAAAGTTGTTGGTTTGGATAACTCAAAGTTTGTGGAATCACAGAATGGTTTGGACTGGGAGGAACATCCCATTCCAACCCCCTGCCATGGGCAGGGACACCTCCCACCATCCCAGGTTGCTCCACGCCCCGTCCAGCCTGGCCTTGGACACTTCCAGGGATGGGGCAGTTGAGCTTTAAGTTAAAAAATCCAAGCTTGGTAAAAACTGTGCCAGACAGATCCAAGCTCTTCCTCCCCCAGTGCCCTGAATTCAACAGTTCCACAGATTCTTCAGGACAAAGGAATGAAGTGTAAACGTGGCTGAGCAGTGACAGGACACAGCCAAGGGGGACAGGAGAGGTCTTTGCAGGGAGGCTTCAGGAGGACCTTGAAACCCCTTCCAGGGTCTAAAGGGGCTCCAGGAGAGCTGGAGAGGGACTTGGAACAAGGCCTGGAGGGACAGGACACAGGGAATGGCTTCCCAGTGCCAGAGAGCAGGGATAGATGGGATATTGGGAAGGAATTGCTGGCTGGGAGGGTGGGGAGGTACTGGCATAGGTTGCCTAGAGAAGCTGTGGCTGCCCCTGGATCCCTGGAAGTGTTCAAGGCCAGTTTGGAGCAACCTGGGCTAGTGGAAGGTGTCCCTGCCCATGGCAGGGGGTGGCACTAGATGATCTTTAAGGTCCCTTCCACCCCAAACCATTCTGGGATTCAACACTCAGCACATTTGCCTCGTAACTGCAGCACAAACATTAAAACCCTTCTAATTTTCCAGCACCATCAACACGTGGCCCAGCGTGCAAACCCTGCCAGCAACCAGCTGCAAAAACCAGCCTGAAGTTTCCCTTTCTCTCACTGGGCTGAGCCATTCCTGGTGTTCAATCAGTGTCATCACCCTCGATTTATTCCCTGTGCCTGGACAGCCCAAGTTATCCAGAGAAGAGGGTTTTAATAAGGATCATATTCCAATGTTGGAAGTTGTGGTCTGGCCGTGTACTTATTAAAAACCACAGCAAGGCAGAACTTGAAATGCATTTAAAAGGAAAGGAAAACCAGATAATCCAAAGAAAAAAAAACCCAAAAACCAAATCAACACTTAAAAGAAAAGAAAAACCAGGCACTTCTTGCCTGTGTAAGGGAAAGAAGTTTCCCTTGACCAGCCAAGTCAGGGAATTCCTTGATTTGGTCCCGTAACACCTGATTAGGAGTTGCTAAGCCATCAATCAAAAACCTCGTTAGGCATTAATCACAGGAGCTTCCAGCAAGATTTATGAGTGACTGCAAAGTCTGCAACACCCCATCCATCTCCAGCGAGGAGCCGGAGTTCGGCTCCGCGGTCGGATCCTGCCATCCGTGGGGCGTGTTTACATCGGTCAAACCAACCAACCTGGCCAGGAAACGGGACAAAGAGCTCCTTCTCCCAAAGACTGCTCTTTGGGAGGGAAAATTAATACCCAGTGTTTTATTGGAAAAGCAATATTTCTGGGTTTGGAGCCTCAATTAAACCCTCAGGTTCCAAAAGGTCACGTCGGCACGTGCGGCCTGTCCATCACCTCGAGTTGATAACACTCAAAGTCCTCCTGAACTGCAACATTGGGGCAAGACCACATTTTGCTTCTGTGACTCTCCAGACCCACGTTTTCCTGCTCTGGCTGAGCTCCACAACAAGCTGGATAAGTTCTTATCATGCCCAAGACTGACCTGTGAGCAAAGCGCGGGCAGGAAAACACACCCGGCCACGGCGACAGCTGAATTAATTCCTATTTTGCACCCCTGGTGAGGTTCTAAAAGAGAGCTGAGCTCTGAATAAGCTTTATTCTCTCAGTTAAAAGCTTTAGTTGGTGTTTCACATCCTCACACACTCTGAGTCGAGATGGATGTAATCCTGGAGCCAAGCCCTGTATTACACACTTAATATTCCCAAGTCCTAGATATAAAGTGACACCAGAGTCGTGGAATCCATTAAACCCTCAAACTTAATCAAGTTTAAAAACACAGAGAAAAAACATTTAGCAATTTGTTCTTCCATTATGGATGAAACCTGTTCAGTCCCAGAATTATAAAATGGTTTGGGGTGGAAGGAACCTTAAGGAT